CCCAAAACCCCAAAACCCCAAAACCCCAAAACCCCAAAACCCCAAAACCCCGATGAGCTGAGATGAATTGAAATACTAAAATTGATAATTATAATAATTATTGATTTGAATTTGAAATTAAAACAAATATGAGTAGACTCAAGCTTTTAATCGTAGGACCTAACAAGTCTGGCAAATCGACAATAGCTAACATTCTTGGAGATCTCTAAGATGGTCCATCAGCAATTTACAGGCCTACTATCGGTTGCAGGTAATATTATATCATTTCATTTCAGGTTTAATGAATAAAATAGAATTGTTGACTTTGAGAGAGATCCACCCCCAGGTGTTACAAACTTCGGCAAAATCCATTTGGAGCTTTGGGATGCTAGCGGAGATTTCAAGTACGAGAAGTGCTGGGCACCAATACAGAAGGACGCTCATGGTATCATCTTTGTATATGATCCAGCAAATCCAGGCGCAGAAGACATTTTAAATCAACTTGTGCAGTTATTCCCTAAAGCAATGATGCTTCAACCTAAATTCTGTATGGTTATCATCAATCATCACAATGTGGGAGGTGCTGGAGCTTAATTGCCAAAGCATACTATTCCCAACTGCATGAATGGTCTACACAGACATGAAGGTACAGCTGAAGATACACAAGGAATATTTGGAGGTTTTGAGAAATACTTGATGAAAATATTAAAACTATTAGGAGAAATGCAAGAACAAGATGAAAATAGAATTATGAATTTATGAGGAAATTAATGAACTCTCGTCTGATTGTCGCATTTTACCTAAATAGAAAGATGTGTTATAAATTTATGCTTTAGTAATCTATTCAATTTCTATATTCTCTTTAATAGCTTGTATTTATATTATTGTTAGTACATTATCTTCTTGAAAAGATTATTATTTTCAAAGTGAAAATTTATTTTAGAATCTCAAATAATCTTTGATGTTTATGTTAACGGGGTTTTGGGGTTTTGGGGAGATCGGAAGAGCGTCGGTCTGAACTCCAG